TGGGGGGGACGTATGGAATTCCCATATCCTTTTCTTTTGAATAAATCTCCCACATACATATATTAGCTGTGTATTTGAGGATATGAATATGCTGCCTTAGCTGTTTTCCAAAGGGAGATGCGAGGCTTTGTTATAACATTTATTTAAATATGCAAACAGATGTGAAAAATATTGCTCTCCTATACTATATTCAAACTCTTAAGACTTCTTTTTGGAGGTAGGAGGAAGTACATTATTTTTCATTTTGTTTTCCTACATGTTTTACATAGCTTTATCTACATAGTGAGATTGTTTATAATCTGCCTGGATCTTTGAACCTTCCCTTAACATATTATGGTTCAATTAAAGTCAATTTAATTAAGGTAAATGGATAAAGAAATAAGCCTTGAATGTTAAAAAGACCAGGGATTATAGTAGAGACCATGCAGGTAATTTAAGAAGCAACTTTATTGTGAACCAACTTTCAAATGAGCTTTAGACATATGGATATAATATACACATATAAAACTTGATCTCTGTATGTAGCAATATATCTGTGACAACTAAACATCATCATTCATCATTTTGGTAGGCAATGTATTCAAGCAAAGAATGCTATACATCAGAGTAGCAGTTAAGTCCTTTTGTGGATAGAGAAACAATAATTTCAGAGGGGAGAACTATAGGGGGGATTTGTATCCTCTTCCTATAAATCTGGTGATTAGGGGCTCCTTTCTTTTTTTAAAAAAAAATTAGTTTTCCTCTACTGTGATAGCAAATTACAGTACAGACCATTTATTTTGCCCTCATTGTATTAGAGCAAAAGAAATTCATGTGCTTCCTTGGAAATGGTGTTCTGTGTTTTTTTGTTTTGCTTTTTGCATGAGTAGTTCAAAATTGACTTGTAGGGTCTCTGCACAGTAGGAAGAATTATTTTCTCTCATATTTTGACCAGATTATCCTGTAGCCGCAAGCTCAAATTGTTATGGTGTAACAAAGGCATTTTACGTAATGCCGTTTTCATAAATGGAATATACACATGCTATTAAAAAGAGAAATTGTGGAATTACAATGATGTCATCAAGTTCTTTGTAATAACTGAAATTACAATCTATATAAGAAATAGATTTGTTTTTCAGTAGTGCAGTGACTCTTAAAAGGGAAGAGACAGGCACAATGAACTGGGAAATCCATAGGAAATGCACTGGAAATTTGTATGTGTGCCTGTGTGCGTGCATATGCACATGTGACTGTGTGTCTATATGTATGGATGTGTGTGTGTATCCCCGTCCTAATCTGTATTTTGGAAAGATGTATTCATGGGCCTATATTATTACAATATTACAGGGCATAAAACTAGGTGAGATGAAGACTACATCTATTACCTATAGAATTTTTGAAATGAATGAACAAAAAGGTTACACCTCAGTCCAAACTATTTTGGGATTTAATTCTAGTGAAGGGTACACTTCAGGGCCAATGAGAACAAAACATTCAATATCATGATGCACTACTTTGAAGTTCATTGTGATTTTGCTGTTACGTGCTCATCCACAGGAAGAAATCTAAGCCAGTTCTGCCCTGGTGAAGAGAGACTAGCTTTTCCCCTCTAGCCAATTTAAAAGGCAAGCGACTTCTGCTTCAATGAACTGAGACACGAACTAGCCCTGAGATAAATAAGACTGCTGTGTCTGTGTTACAGATGCCCATCAAAGGCCTCCATGTTCCTTGTACAAACAAAGGAAGAGAGGCTGGCTCCATAGCTTCAAATCTGCTTTCCCCAAGAGGAACAAGCATTGCAGAGAGAAAAAAAGAAGGGCATCCTAATATCAGATAGACTTACTCCATTTTTCTTCATTGTGAAATATACTCATATCTGTGCCCTGAGCATCCACTCTGGACATTGAAGCTCACGTATCTTTCTCATAGTGTTTCTGTAGTAACTGCAATTTTACATAGTGATTTGAAGATCACCACATCCTTAACGTGGGACATAATTTTAAAAATTCCTTACTAGAATAGTGATAATTAGAAGTGACAAGACTTTTGAATTGGATTCCATTTCTGAGCATGTGGTTTTGCTTGCAATAATATGTAAAAAGATTTGCCTTCTTTTTTTTTGACTCTCTCCGTTGAGCCTCTGCCTTGGAATGTCCTGAGAATTTCTCATCCAAATACTAACCAGATCTCATCTAACTTAGTTTATTTTCAAGCCAAAGTCAGCTAAGACTGCCATAAGTGATGGGCGTTAAAATGCAAAAGTAAGAGTAAAATGAGAGATTATTCTGATTGGATGCTTTGAAATCAGCGCTTGGCTTTTATTTTTCATTTACTATAAAAGAAAGATGATCACATTTCAAATGGGGAATTTTATCCCAGCTACAGAAGAAACAATCCCTGTACAAAAGTATGTTAGTTGGGGAGGGAGGGGGGGTTGTGTCAGTTGGTGGGGGAGGGAGGGGCTCCTATTAACACTGAAAACTGTGGGACTCAGTTTTCATTCTGATCACAGCTGGAAAGAAAAACCCTCCTTTTGCAGGACTGCGATTGCTCAAACCCAGTTGGAACAGGAGCAGAAAATGTACTGACCTCAAATGGCATTAAACTAACTCCAATTAATCCCGATTTGGGGGGGGGGGCATGGTGGGGCTGGTGGGTAGTCTAGAATGCCTCCCTTCCAGTCTTTCCAGAGTTGGTGGTAAATGCCTGCAGCATAGCTTGACAGAGGAACTAATGAATTTGTCTCTGCCGTTCATTAACTCACAAATGTGTTTTTCAACCAGACAGCTGAGGTCCTTGTTCATGCTACCGGTCCATGGACACCAAGCTAGGGACTTGAAAGAATAAGAAGATGGCAGACAGTAGCTACCAAGATCAGTTTTCCTACAGGGAATGATTCCCCAATTCTTCAGTACGGTGGAGGCAAGAAGTATCACCAAATTACACTCTCTCTGTATGAGAAGCGTTTATGTTGATTTTCTCTGTTCAAGTACACATTTTTGTCTTGAGCCCTACATTTTGAATCCGACAGACAATGTATTCACTGCCTCTCCAAGAATACTGTGAAATCAGTTCACCAACAGGGCATCTTTGATGTACATCAACAAATTAATTGAAAGCTATTATCTGCCTGCAGATACCCCAGAGATAAAACACACTCCAGGCAAGATTTATCACTCCTCCAATATGTTTCCACATTTTTCAGTGCTAGAGGATAATGGGAGATGAAATTCAACAGTTCTGGAAGATACCAGGATTGGGGGAGCTGCCCTAGACTTCTAGCTCAATATCTTGAGCATCTTTTGATCTAATTTATCTTAAAAAGAAAAACAGACAGCAGTGTCAACCAATTCCATCCACAGCAAAGAAAGAAAGATGATGGAAAACTAGTGTTTTCATGTAGTGAAGATTTGGCCTCTTCCCATCCCATCCCCTCCCCCAGACATATACCGAGCTGAAGAGTTCAGGAGCAGGCACAATCAATAGGATGGCAAAATAAGAATGGTGTGTGTGTCAGAAGAGAAGAGAGATAAAGCAGCGATGTAGCATTTGTTTTTCAAGCTGATTGCCATCACTGGGGATGTATGTTTCTCGCACGGCTGCTTCACTAGAAACAAAGGAAGCAGAAATTGTCTGAACTGTGGTTAAGAACTTGAGTTGGTCCTATGACACATGAAAATTATGATCCAGGTTGTACAACGATTCCTCACTGGTGGTTATCAGATGTTGTCAAAAGAAAATTCCCCCAAATAATAGAAGGTAATATTTGCACAACCCTTGCTTACACTTCATGACAAAGCTGTTTTTAATGCAGTTTCCAAGGTTCGTTTTAAAATAGGAAACAGCTGGCCAGAAGCTTTCTTCTGACATAGAGGAACAAGCAAACCAGGCAATGGAGAGAGATTTGTCCTATTCTAGTGTTAGCTATAGCATCACTAGGTAGGAGAAGGAAAAGTGCTTGTTTAAATCTCTGGTGAGTGATATGGCCAACAAGTGTCCATCAACTTCTAACTTTTTCCCTAGGCCAAATTGACTCTGTGTGTTTCTGTCCAGTGAATAGTTGGGCCAACTGTTCAGATGAAGAGCACAAAATGTCTTACAGAATCAGGACAGGGTTTTCAGTGCCCAAAGAAGAAGCAGGTGCTGCAGTAGCTGTAGTGCTCCTCAAAGGAGGGAGAGGCGGATGAGGGAGCCCTCGTGGTCCCTACTAAATCTCTTTTTCATTATGGATTGCCGTTGTCGGTGGCTTTGAGCCTGAGCGACGTTGCCACTCCGAAGACAAGTCACGCACTGCTGGCTCTGGGTGTCGTGCGTGATATGTCCCTCTGTTCTCCGCCCTGCGTGGGTGCGAGGAATTCTTGACCTCGCCCTGAGGCGCCCTCTCTTAGGTACAGCCCTTGAAGGCTGGATCCAGATGTGATCGGAAGCATCCTCCTCCCCTTTCAAGGCAGCCCTCGGAGCAGACTATCAATCCTGCCTTCTCCTCTCGCCCCCCAACCGCCTGAAGGGCCTCTTCGGTTTTGGTGCTCCTCTGCTTTTTTTTTTTTTTTTTTTGCTGCAGCCTGAGGCGGCCCCAGTCTGACTTGCTCGTGCTCACAGCAGCAGGTGGCGATTCGCTATCTGTCGCTGGAAGGCAAAGCTCCCGCCGCCGTCGTGCCTCCTCTCAGCCACTCGTTCTGAAGGCGAGTCAGCGGCGGGTCAGTAGAGCGGAAAGCGCTCAGCGCGGGTGTCTCTGCCCGACTGGCGCGCCCAGGTCTTCTGCGAGAGAAGAAATCACGCTCAGAGTGTCTCTGCCGTCCACATCGCGCTCAATCGGGCCCGCATCCTCATTGCAACCCTCCCCAGAACGCCTTCGCCCCGGTTTCTCCCGCGCCCTCCCTCCCTCCCCTCCCCCAGTCTCTCCCGCACCACCACCAACCCCCGGCCGCCTCGTCCCGCCTTTCGCGGCGGCGTCTCTGTCTCCCGCACACACAGCCCAGGCGCTCCGGCGGCACTTCAGCGGCTTCTCAGCGACTCTTCAGATGGCAACTCCGGGAGCTGGCTTTTGGTCCTTCGGGACTGAGGAGGGATCTGGCGATCCAGATAACCCGGGTACAGGTAAGAATCTCCGGCCCGCCTCTCTCGGGCACATAGTCAGATCGCCTGAAGAGCGGATGGCAACCCGAAGCCACCTGCCCGCGCGAAGTTGCTCTTCGCGGAAGTCTTCCACGACTTTTGGCATCTCCCCGTCCAACCTCGAGACCCCTTCTCGCCCCGAAAGGAGATTCCCTCAACTGACTGGCAAGAGAGCTTCAGACCGTGACAACCCGGTCGGTCCCACTCCAGTCTGAAGAGTCATTTACCTGCTGGCTAGGGAGACCTTGCCCCGGCGAAGGAGGGCAGCCCGGACGTCGAAATGAGGGCGAACTCCGGGCTTTCAGGCGGGGACGAGGAGACACGGCAAAGCTCACTAACGACGCAAAGTGAAGTGGAAAGAAGGGCGGGCTGGGTGGGTGCAGGTGGTGAGGCTGGCAACCCTGGATGCGCCGCGATACTGCTTTTCTTGAGCCGCTGGCTACAAATAAGGTCACTTAGAGAGATATGGGCAAGGGTACTGGTTGGGGATGATGGAAGCTGTGGCCGGTTGCAAAAGGCCCCCTTAGAAAGTTATAGATGTTAAGGGAAAATCACGGAAAGAGCGGAAGAGGCTCGCTTTCTTGAGCTTAAAGTCTTTTTTTCAGAAAGGAAAGGCGGAAAGCAACCCGCGCAGCTCTATCCTAAAGCACGCTGCTTATGACGCAAAAGCCTCTGGGAGGGTTGCAGCCGATGGACCCTCACTCCGCTACTCATAAGGCTGACAGAAAGAAATAAAGAATGAAACCCCGCGGTCTATTGTGTGGTAAGATTATCCGCTGAAATCCACACACCCATCTAATGCCAATATCTTGTTCTCCTTCTGCCCTTAGCCAAAGCCTGGTGCCAGGCTGCCCAGAAGTTTACCGGAGGCATTTCAACCAAACTCTGCGGTAAGCATCTATCCCTAAGAGGCTCCCCAAACCACCGAAAGAACCGTTTTCTAAAAAATAATGATGATGATGATGATGTGATAATAATTTCGAAGTAATCGCCCCAAAGTCCCAAGGATGCTTTCCCGAGAAATTTGGAAATTGGAGATCCTTCGAGGCGTGGAGTGGGGGGGGGGGGGGGGGTGGACATTGCAATTGGGGGAGGGGGCGTTTCGCTCCAGCCCCTGCGGTGCCATTGACGCTTCGCCCTTTGTGTCTTTGTTAGCGCTGCTCTACGGAGATGGCGACAAGACCACGGAAACGGGGGCGACGAAGGCAGACCCTGGTTCGGCCGCCAGAAAGGGAGCTTGTACCTGTAGCGGAAAACCTTGCGCTTGCCAGAAAGGGGAGCTCAGCTATGCTTTCCTGCACGCCTCAGGTAATTGGCCTCCAGCCCGCCCAGGACTTGACCGTCTTAAAGGGAGTGTGGGTAGTAGTCAGACGTTTTGGAAGCCCCCTACTCTCGCCTTTGGGGGTTTCTAGTCCTCTTTAAGGGGGAGTAGAACAAGTCGGGTAGTTCCACACCGAAGGGCGTTCTGCCACTCGCTTCTCCTCGAGGTGAGGAGGCGTGAGTCACCCAAAAGGAGTTCAGGTACCAGCTCCGAGAGAACGCTCCTATATTCTCATTCAGCTGCCAGAAAAAGGAAGAAAATAAATTCTGTTTTTCGATTTTGCAGAGATGCCAGCCTTCCCCTTCCCCTTCACGTCTCCATTTTTATATACATTCTTATATACATACAAATCGCAATGATTCCAAAGTTGGAAAACTAGTTGAAACCTGCCTACGCAAGGACTAGATTCGCTCATATTAACTCCGGAAATACTGCCAAAAATGCTCCTGTTGATTCCAAGCCATTTAAATACAACTATTCCTACAGTGATTCTTTTTTTTTTTTTGGTTTTTGTTTTATGGGCTATTCCTAAATTGTTTAATTTCAAATCCCACCACATCTCTCCAGGGCCAAGGAATACTCAGAATAGGCCAACGTTTGTGTGTGAGAGGGGGGGAGAGGGAGGGAGGGAGGGAGGGAGAGGGAGTGCGTGGGGTGGGATGGCGGGGCAGGAAGAAATGTAGAAATTTTGAATCAGTCTTTTAAATTTGGAAGTGCTTGCTAAGGGAATATTTATGAGACATGAATCATTCTGGCTCAATAAATCTATTTGAAAACAATCTACCATATATTGCCAGATGGCAATATATATATATATAAAACCAATAAATGGCCTTCTTTGACATCACACAGAAACTGGTTCGAATAGTGTCAATGGCTCCGCAGTAATATTGTTCGTTTTCTAAGAACTGTTGTCAAATTGATGGTTGATTCAGCACCACTTGGAAGAGAACAGCGACCAGACCGATTTTAAGCCATTTATAAATCTAAATTGAGGAAGAGGGGGAGTAATAGCATGGGCAGTATGTGTCTCATTTTTCAAACGGAACTGTTTGATTTTTTTTAAATAACATGTCAAATATTTAAAATATTAATTCTTAAATATTGATTTCTGTGTTGACAATGACCTGAAAGTGTATTTCATAATCGTGAGTCTCTCCCATTTCAGTTATTTGAACTGTATGTTTATATAAACAGAAAGCCTTTAGATATATTAAGGACCTGCAAATTATGACAGGATAAAGGAATGGCTTTAAAATAAATACAGTCTGCCTGGGCTGCTTTTATTCTAAGCATAAATCTAAAAGAGTCGCATCCTGTTTGTTCCTTCTCTGCAGATCTTCTACCTGCTTCTGAGGGGGAAGCGATCACCTTGGCTTTCCTACAAGACGTGGTGGACATTTTGCTCCAGTACATGGTGAAGAATTTCGACCGATCCACTAAAGTGATTGATTTCCACTACCCAAACGAGCTGCTTCAGGAATATAACTGGGAATTGGCGGATCAGCCCCAAACCTTGGAGGAAATTCTGTTGACCTGCAGGACGACGCTGAAATACGCCATCAAAACAGGTATGCCGGGCTCGGCCGACCGCGACCAACATAGGGCCGATTTTCGCTATTGATCATCTTGGGCGCTGCAGCCTTTTCGTGCTGGGCCTTTAAGGGAAAGAGCTGCAATTTCTGGGCAGGGCGAGGGAAGAGGGGGAGCGGAATTAATTCGATTCCGCCGCGGCTAGTGGATAGGACTCAGGACAGTGACGGTCAGTGGGAGGCCGGACACTTGAAGGACAACAATTGCTTGCCGCGTTTGTGAGAGGAGGGGGCAGGTTTGATTCCGAGGATAGAACCTTCCTCTCCCTTCCCCGCATCCTCACCTTCAAAAAGTGCATCGTTTGGAAAGCAAACCTCACCCTCACCCACTCTTTCCTTTATATCTCCTCCGGCACAGCTAACCGGAGCTCCGTGTTCCTGTTTCTTTCGCTTTTTAAAAGAAATTTAAATATTTTCTAGCTGGATAAATCCGACCCAAACGGAATTGGCACGAGTACGGCAGAGAGTGCGCGCTTCTCCACGGCTGGATTGAAACAGTATAGGGCCACGCCATTCTAATGATTTATGGTGTCTTATAGTGTCATCTGACCATTGCTGTGCCAATATATCAATAAGACAGACATTATAGCGCCACAGCGATGGCTGGTTGACCCTCGAAGATGCTATAAATCACGCGTGAGGCGGTTGCTTTTGGGATGGAGGGTGGGTGGGAACAAAGGGACGGTCGCAGCCGAGCAGGAGAATAAAGAAAACGGGGAGCAGAGCAACAGGGCAAGAAACGAGGTATGAATTGAATGGGAGAGTTCCTCGATTGCTCCCAGTAGTACAATATTCTATTTTTGTTATGCCGTGATTTCCATAGCAAACGATAGCTAATACTGGATAGCACTCTGTGGGCGAACTTATTCCCCCAACGAGTTCCCTCAATCCCAGACAGTACCATCAAACCACACTAACTCCTGTGCCTGTATGGTTGAGTGGCAAGGGTATTCCAGCGCATCTCGGAGGCATCCAACTGGTGCAGGAAGCCTCATCCAGATACTAATTTTTGTAGAGGTTACTATTCTTCTCGCTTCCTTCTCCCCCTTCTGCTTTCTCGGGATACTTGGCTTTATTCCTGCCAGAGATGAAGGCGGCCGGACGCCTTTCTTGGGAGTAAGCCAAGGCGGGGCGGGGCGGGGCGACTCTTGCACCACCTTCGCGGCTGATGGCCCGCTTCTCGAGATGCCAATGGAAGGAAGTCTCTCCGAAGCCAAGCCTCTGAGCAGAGCAGTCTCTCTTTATTTGCTACCGTGCATGGTTCTTCTGCCTCAGTTCACAAATTTGGAGAAGATCGAGAAAAAAGGGCCGCCAAATTTAGGCGTTTGGTTGGATCTTGATGTGGCGCCCTCTTTCTTTGTTGCCGAAGCTTCCCTGTCCTGAATTCCGTTGCTAGCCAGGTTTCTTTCTCTTCTTTCCTCCCGATGTCTGTATGTTAGACACCAGTTATTTTTAAGGATATCCCTGTCAGATCAGAATGTGGGAACCATGGTTGGTTGTGTAACTCGGTCGACGGACTGATTTAGGATTCATCCATCCATCCCTGATTACAAATGAATCCCTTTCATTTCCAAATGCTCCTGTTTGGGGACACGACCTCTTCCTAGTTCTTCCTTACAGGCAGTTCTCGAAAACATGGCGTTGCTTTCCCTTTAAAAAGAGTCGGGGATTGGGGACAGCTTTCTACAGCCGCATCTTTCTGCGCTCTCTTGGAAATCACCCCTGCAGCTTTCCCCAAGATTTAAACCCAAACAAAAATCAAGCTTAGTTTAATGACAGATTAAGAAATGCACTAAAAGATCTACTGTCATTTGGGAGAAACCTGCATTGGAATTCACGTGGTCACATTCCAAGGCTGCCATTGCAAGAAAACCTAGCAGTCGTGGTAGGATTTGTTGGACGATGGTAAGAAAAATCTGAAAGGAGAGGATTCTGTTCGTCTCCAGCTTCCCACATGGAAGATTCAGTCGAAGATAGTTCTTTTCAGTTTGTAGACCAGGATTTATCCATGTACCAGGCAGGTATTTTTAAACGAATGAGAGAGAGATTGTAGTTTGAATAGGTTTTTCACTTTCTGCCTCCTGATGTCCTCCAGATGTGCTGAATTCCAGAATTACCATGCCCAGCTCCAGTCTTCCCCTGGAAGAAGGCTGAGATAAACAATAGATTTATTGTGGGCTATATTTCCTGCAGCTGGACATTCTGCAACTCACATCAAGAATTTCCATGATTTTGAGTCCATCAACATCCATGTGTTCCTCCAATCTGCTGGAATGGTCTTTCTTTTCCAAAAAAATACTTTCCAAAAGCTGGCTGAAGAAGGAACTGGGAAGCCCATTCAAAGCAGCTAATCCCAATCAAAGGCAGGATAGTTGCCTGAATAAGAATTGGAACCCATGAACAAGATCACAGGAGGGTCCAAGAAAATGTCCCCAGTTGTCCCCAGAAGGTTACTACGGGCAGGAAAGCCACCTGAAGTTAGATCTTCTTCTCTGCAGCACAGGTTTTGCAAGAACATGACCAGAAGAAAAGAGCTGAAGTGGTATTGAGAAGGATGTCTACCCAAGTCTCCAAGTATCACTCATTCCAATAGATATTTCACTGAGAGATGTGTGCATGTCCATGCATGCAAAGACCCACAAATGCACATAAGTTGACACCCATCTGTCTGCATTAAAATATCCATAAATCAGATCTTTTTCCAGAGTTGTAGTTGCTGTTCATTCCTCATGTGAATAACACAGCTAATGCATTTCACACAAATGCACATATCCAACTTTCAGCAGGGGAGGAGGAGCCTGTTATGCACTATTCCTTACTAGGAAAAGAAAATGTACAGTATTATTTCCTTTACACACTCCATCCCACATAAGAAAATGCAACTAGATGATTAGGAGACAATTCTTAAATGACCAATTAGTTACTGATCCAGTCCCACAGTTTGCTGTAACATATGATCTTGCTGTTGGTGGGTATCACAGTTTCCTCCCTGAATATTCCCCAGCGATGGACTTCAGTTCCAGACAACATGACAATTGCTGAGAACTCCAGGTGAGTGCAGTGCCCCAAAATCAGCTAAATTTCCTTCAACCTTTCAGAACTACTAAATTTCAGAATAATCTGCTGCGTGTCCTGAGAACTGAAATTCAGGGCAAGTGAAGGGCAGCAGGCTGGCAAATGAGGTGGACTAAGAAAGGCGGAATGAAAGGCATATTGTTATTTAAATGTGCTCCAATACTTCAGGTTTTTAAAAAGAGATTGGACTATTTGTTTGAAATGGCATAGGGTTTCCTGTTTGAACAGGGGGTTGGACTAGAAGACCTCCAAGGTCCCTTCCAACTCTGTTATTTTGTTAAATCTTTTGAAACCCAAGGATTTTCCCATTTACTTGGCTAGAATACAAACTTAGCAGAAAATCATGTCGGATTCTAGTAGAGACACATAAAAATACACAGGTATAAAATTTGCTAATCCAATAGCCAAGCTTTATTCTGCCACAGTAATGAAACAGGGCTAACATATGAGTTAGTCAACCAAGGGAGATTAGACATATGCAACTGCATTGCAACAGTATATATTTACCTGTAGTTAAATTAACCATGTTTATGCAATTAATCCAGTGTTTTAGATATTTCTCACACACTAATCCATAAATAAACTATGGGGTTTCTGCGGTATCTGATTCTAAAATATGGTTCAGAATAATCAATGATTCTTGGATCTCTTACAGTTTGTTTTCCTGGAAAAAAAGCGTTGCGTGAAGCCACCTTCATCCCAGCCATCGTGTGGCTTCCATGGTTTGACGCAGCAAGTCATACGACTTAGGCCCTTGTCGTTCACAGCCAGAGTTTCGTGCGAAGCCACTCAATTGAGCATTTTCGTTTTATTTTGATTGGTTTTATTTGCTCGTCCTGTCGCGGAAACCGCTTCGCGTCACCAGCAAAAACCGCTTTGAACACCAATAGCTTTGTGTCGCCTCCGATCACGGAAGGGGGGAGGGCTGGGGGCTACCAGAACTGGGCTGCAAAAACCTGCACTGTTTTTTAAATAACCGGCTATGGGGCCGGTTTTGGTCGCTGCATCTCCCGCAACAGGGAAGCTCACACTCAGCCAGCCAGCCTGCCTGCCTGCCTGCCTGCCTGTCCGCCCGCTCGCTCTCCTTTCCCTGTTCGTTCTTCCGTTGCCTCCAGCCTTATTGCGCGGCGCTTCCAAAAAATAATAATAATAATGGTGCAGCGAGAGAAGGAAATAGTAACGCGGCGAGTTTGGATTTTGCTGAAGAAAGGAAACATGGAGGGAACGAAAGAGAAAAAGTCGAGGAACTAGGGAAAGATTTTTGGGGAAAAGAAATAATGTTCGGATTTTCTGCTCGCGATGTTTCTTACCAATTAGAGACCAAAGACCAAATGTGTTTCATCTAAGTTCAGTTAATTGCGCCAATGCTTACACAACCAATTGTCCTTCATCAAGAGAGCCGTGGTTAAAAACCACGATTTAGCATGTTTGCTGTGGGATCATAGCGTTCCGTGTGTTGGAGTGTCAACTAATGATGGTCACGTGGCCATGAACGTGGGAATGCTTGGCTTCCAAAGCCAACGGAAAAGAGACGGTGGTGCATAAAAATACAATATTTTGCACAGAACTGTTAGCAACACATGACTAGCTTTCAGCCATTCTATGGAGATGGTAGCTGTTAAAAGAATTTGCTGCCTCAAACGTTACTATTTCAGAACAATAGTGTGGTGATTGTAAATGTATCTCAACTTGAGATACTTTTATAGGAAGAGAACAGAACTGTGGATGCCTTCACCTGCTTGTTTACTGGGGAAGAAATTACATGTTTTTTGAGCAGAAGGAAAAATGAAAGAGAAAAATCCCAGGGAAAAGGGCTACAGTGCAGAGGTGTGCTACTTCAGATTCTAGTCTTGTCCAAGGTATTAAACTACACCCTAATCCTTTGGAGAGCAACCCTAACCCTA